CTGCTATATTAAAAGAAATTAATAATACATCAAGCAAGTTCTTTACTTTTCAAAACATAATTTCATTTCAAATTTACTATCATGTAAAATTCGATATCGCTGAAGTCATTTTACTGAAACTCATTTCGCCAAAGTTATTTCACTAAAGTGACGTCAAAAATCGAACGTTTCACTGCCGAAATGGTAGCGATCAACATTTTATAAAAAATTTTCAAATGCGCTCGATAAAAATTTTTAAGGAATAAATATTTTTTTAAATTTTAAAATATCTTTCTTTCGGAGTATTATCACTTTAACATTCAAGTAACAAATAACTTTATTTTTATCCTATTTTCTTTTTTTAAAAAACTGATGATCGAATAAATTAATTATTGAGCTTTCAAAATTGTGCTACCCCCTAAAAAATTATTAGATTACAGGACGATTACCGGACAAAAATTGGACAATGTTGTCCTGTAATCGTCCTGTAATTATAATCACTCAGTAATCACAACGTACACAGAATTCTGAAAAATGCGATAATCTCTTCATTACAAACCTTATAAATAAAAAAGAAAATTAAGATTCACAATCATGACCATTTTCAGTAAAATGGGATTCGGCGAAATGGATCATTCAGGAAAGGGTTCGGCAAAATTTTCGTTCAGTGAAATGTTCAGTGAAGCGGAACCTCATTTCGACAAAAATGTCTTCAGTGAAATTGGTTTCGGTGAACTGGTTTCATATACTAGCTGGTAAAATAATTTTAACCTTACAAGTAATACAAGTTACATATTTTTTGTTGTTCTCGATTTCCCAAACCATAAAAACTATCCCCTAATAATGGCTTATAGTTTTGAATTTTATCCAAATGTTAAAATGCTGGATCACTCGAGAAGCCGACTTGCAAAACAACGAAACACGTGCAGAATAATTTCCATTCATAGAGAAAACCTTTAATTTCATCAACACATCAAAGTATGAATCACTCAATATTGAATTATTAAAGGCCACTCCAACTCAATTCTTTGTTTGGCAGTTTGGCATAACCCCGTTTTCAGAGAAAATAATAATTTAGGCCAGAATTATAAAATCTGACCAGAATTATAAATAAACATTATAAATCACATGTCAATAATATTCATCACCGGCATGTTTATATTTATCTGAGGGACTTTTTTTTGCCTCCAAAATTATTTTTTTTCACATCCCTTTAAATGTCACCGGTCACGTGGGGTGAAATTTAATTATAAAATTTGGCTAAGGCGCAGTAAATGAAAGTAATATAAGAATGCGAACTTTTTTCTTTTTTTTTTTTATTATTTCACATATAAAATGTCAGATTTCTTCCTTCTTTTTACATTATCGCTCCTTAAGGGGGATACACAATAATAATCAGATTTTCTTTCTTCTTTTTTGCATTATCGCTCTTTAAGGAAGTTTATACACAATAAATTTATGATTATACAATAATAGTGACATTTAATATTTGACGTAGGTTAATCGTACATCATTTGATTGAGTAATCTAGCTTACTAAGGTGTATTAGTGTATTACGTGCATACAAGATACTTTATTTTTGGCTCACAAAGAAATTTCTGTGAAAATCTTTTTTAGTAAATCTATCTTTCAAACTCTATAACTGCGCAGTTCAATGTTGTTAAAAACAGTTGAAAAAAAAATGGGGTAAAATTCGATTATAAATGAGAAAAACGGAATAATGGAAAAATTTATTCCGATTACGGTAAATACCGAAATGGTCCTTTCTATTTTTATATCACTTACGTTATTGGGCGTTTGAATAATATAAACATACGAAAATGTAAATTTCTTTTCGAATACTTTTTTTTTATTATTTTTTTACCATTATTAAACTGATATCTTTTTTGTTACGATCAATTATATTATGATGATGCATACATTTATTACGCAATATCCTGTTAATACCCCATGTTACACCATATATAGACCTCACGTCCTCACCCCCTGAATATTACGTAATAAATTCTTATTGCTCTAACTAATAAATATATGCAAAATATATCGTATCAAGTATTTATTGTGCAGTATATTATTAGATAAGTACGTAATCCAAATTCCAAAAAAGAAGATGGTCTCAAACTTAGTGAAATGGAATTTTCTATGCATCGGGAAAAAGTTAATCATTCTTATCTAATATATACGAGAGTATTTTTCTTTTTTTTTAAAAAAAATAATAAACTTTATTAAAATATTTTCTTTCTATTCTTTCTATTCTTTACTATACATATTTCTTATCTGAGCTTAATCTTATAAATTGTTAATTAAACTGGTTTATGTGCTTATACTTTAAAAGAAGAAAGTTCATGATCGACGATATATAGGATAATATAAAATATATTCAAAGACTCTACTATATGCCTTCAAAGTTAGTATTTTGATACATCAATAGAGAATATTTTTGTTGTTACTTGTTACTCAAATGGAACAATGGAATTTCTCAGGATTTTGATTAGGATTCAAAATACAGCAGCGGTGATACAAACTAAACAAAAAAATTATATATATTCTATATCTTAGCAACTTGGTTGATTTTGGTCGTTCATTTTCACTACATAATAAGCGCATTTATGTTTTCGTTATTTATACTCATTAAGGAATTAATACAAAATTTAACAAAGATTCAGAATATCATTTCATTCAAAAAAATACTATAATATTTACATTACTAATAAGTTATTATTTAATAGAATATTCATATAAACATATGTTGTATGTGGTTTCTGAATACCGGATCTTGTCAAGCATTACGAAATCCTAGTCTAGCACTATACTTTAATTCTGGCCAACATCCCGTATCCACATATGTGGATTCCACATAGATTCCGTTTCCACCTACAACATATATACAGTATATACTGTACATTTTAATTGTTGAATAATATTCGACATAAGATTCACAAACGTGTTGTCATTTCAAATGAGGTATTATAAATTTTTGATGTATGGTGCATAACAAAGTATAAAGAGTCATTTTCTTAAAACAGGATTATTTTTTTTTTGGATTAATTCAAATTCCAGAAATTAAGAACGAAATTGTTACAAGCAGCAAACGTCTCCGAACCAGTGAAACTACTAATACCTTTCGGGGAATCATTTTGCAAATAATTATCCCTTGAATGGTTTCCCTATAAAAAATTTTTATCCGAATATTTCCATTATTTCTCCGTGTCTTCCGTAAAAATTCCGTGAAAATGATACATTCACGGATATCCGTGTTAGCGAGATGAAAATTTCCATGATTTAAGGCTATAAATTCCATGAAAATGATACATTCACGGAAAAAACATGGAAAGATAAAACACGGATCAGATTTTTTACAGGGTTTTTGAGCTAATTTGTTCAGAATTTTCTTTTAAAAATGTTATAGAATAATGTTCTGAAGTATATTGAATGATAAATTTGCATCATCATATATTAATTTCGCAAGTTTGATCAACATATACTTAGCATTTAAGGTTACGATGTTATACAAATTAGTGGAAAGTAACTAGCCAAATTTGTATTACAACCAGTATGAAGAGGGAATTAAAGGTTCGTCGAAAATTTCTATATTGTATAAATATTTTCTTTAGTGACGCTGGATTCCAGTCTTTAAAAACGTTATCCCTATAAAAAATTTTTCAGAAAAATGATCACGTGCTTGAGATTATTCGGAATGAAGAATTTTCTTATAGGGTATATTATACAATAATTACAAGAATTATACCGATCACAAAATTAATATTTTTTATTAAAATATTATTTATATGCTGGTAAATAATTTATATAAGGTAAATTAATTTTTTGTGTTATTTTGTAGAAAAAATGGATATCCAATGTTGCGTAATGGTAAAGTACAGCATTTTTACGTTATCGTACTACATGTTTGTAGTGAGTTGGTAAAATTTTCGGATACAAAACATATAACTTGTTAGACTCTAAATACAGGTTCGTTCCTCCAGATTTCAATTATTCTACGATTTTTTTTTTTAATCGATCAAAATCTGAATTTTTGGTCGATCAATTTGATTAGTAGTCGATGTCCGAATTCTTCAGTCGAATTAATCAATCGATCACACTACTAACCAATCATCAACCAATAATGTATCTACTAAAAAACTCCAAATCAAAATACTGTAAAACTTGGATGGAAGAGTATCATAATTTCATCAATGATAAGTATTATACACGTTAATACTTTATTTTATTCAGTTGTTGGAAGAATATAAATTGCTAATAATATTACTATGTATTTAAAAATCCCAAGCGTTATCAAGTTATGATAAATTATTATACTTTAGATCGTCGTAAAAGATTACTCAACGACTAGAGTAGTTGTTTTTATATCTTTTTTTTAATACAGTGAATTAATTACTTATTAAGGTTCATTCCTACTCATTTAACTTTCATTACATCATGTACCGAACCAATTGAATTATTTTTGAATGGAAATTTTATTATATTCTTTTTTTGTATGATTATCGCTTTCATCGTTGATAATAAGAAGCTGCTTTGGATAAATTAATTTCATTATTAATGTTTTAATTCATTGAAAACTAAAAAAAGTCATATTAAATTTGATTTCCTAATTTAGGAATAAATCAATTGGCAATCATCATTATTTCCAATGAATTGATAAGATTAGAAATTTGAATGAAATCGATGACGACAGCGAACGAGACTTAACTGTTAATAGTAACTCGATAAATATGTAAAGTGTATAATAGTTATTTAATACCGTAAAAGTTTTTTACAACTAAAGAATAAAATTCGGATTTTAATTGTTATCTATCATTGGTGTAACCTAGTACTATCTATCATTATCAATTTTATCAATTATATTATTATCTTCCTCTATTGATTTCTTTCTCGTGTACTATATAAATAAAGCTTTTTTTAAAATTTGTTTTCGGCTTGTTATAAATTGAATATTTATTTGTTTTTGCATTTAAATCCAAATTTATTTCTTCGACTAAATAAAATTTTCGTTGATTATCAAAATGCAAAATCTCGATGAACAAGCAATTTTTTCTTCATCTAGTCCTCAATTTGATACTAATAATATTAGCATGTCGTCAAGTGGAAATGCTACTGCAGCTCTTGACAATATGTCTCCTACAATAACGTCATATACTGTACCAGATGAAAATCAGCCGTTACAAGTTAACATCCAGGAAATGCAACCCATTCAAGATTATCAGCAGATACCTTCTGATTTATCTCCATTAGAATATCTTCAAGAACCTGTTACGAATGAATACTCGTTCTTTTATGTACCATACGGCGATTTTCAAATATACCATATTACTTGTACAGAATTATCACTGACTTTTGAAAATGTATCACAATTGATAAACAACACTGACAATAGCTCAATTAATAATATTTATGTGTTTTACCATCAACAACCAGAAGTTGAGAAAATCTATAAAGTAACTTGCAAAATGATTTCACATACATTCATATTTCAATTTTTAAATAAAATCATTTATGGTAATCAATTCACTCAATGTGAGCATCAGCAACAAGAATTTTCCAATAGGCATCAAGAAAATCTCAAATCTCATTTGAAAAGGGACTTTACATATTATTTAACACCAAAACAGATTCATGAACAAAATTGTGATTTATTTTATCAAGATTATGATAATTATCAGAATTACAATACGAATATTCTTCCTTTTAATCAAGATAGCAGTTGTCAATTTTATACTATTCAAAATGGAAGTGATAATTACATTCAAAGTTATTATGACGGGAATTTTAGCCAATAATCTTAAGAATTTTACATTTTTGATTAAGAGAGAAGAAGTCAAAAATTGGCTTTCTTGTCTCCAAAATTTTTTTTTTTTTTATGATAACCAATAAAAATGCTTCACTTTTAAATCACATGAATGTACCAATGTTCGTTGTGCTCAATTGTAAACTTTAAACTTTGTTTAAACTTTTATGCTTAAACTTTATTAAAATGTTTAACATACATACTGCGTTGATGCTGCGGCGTTGCTAAACACGAAATTAAAAGAAAAATGTCTTTCAAGCATTAACGCTCAACTACCATAGTAAGAAATAAACTAAATTAAATCTTTATATGCAAACAGCATGTTCAAAAAAAAGATTCATATAAAGTATATCTTGACGCGTTTTTAAATTTCTCATATTAACGATATTATATTAGGGCGCAGTCAAAAGAGGAAACCCAAATGATCGTTTAGTTTCTAATATAATAGTATGCAATCATGTTTGCTTTATAAATTCGTTTTTTAAAAAATGAGTATTTTTTGGACAAAAATCTCTATAGTTCATATATTTAAAAAATGATTCCAACGTCAAGCCATATTATATTTATTAAATTGAATAAATATACAATACATTTTTTTAAATTTATATAAAGGCTGTCATTTGACGCTATCTCAATTCTCAAATTTTTATTGGTTTAAAATTTTTTGTAATCCGCGTGCCCGCATCAACTTAAAGCAAATTTTGATATGAGAACTAATTTTTTAATTTTATATCGCCTTATTATTATATTGTTATTTCTTTAAATATGCATTAATTATGATATATTTGTTATAAATTGTTTAGTTTTAAAATGTCTTAAAATTAAATTAATATTTCAATAAGGACATGTGCAAACTATATTTTAGTTACGTAGTAGTCCGAAACTTCTAAGTTGGCTTCTTTCATTTTTATTATTTTTACGGTCATGCTGCTTCCCCTACACACTCAATTATTACAAAGGATATAGGTCCTATTACTAAAACGCCTAGTAAGTGTCTAGGAGTATGTTACCGGCGCATCAGAACTGACTCCACTTAAGTGTCATAAAAGTCGGTTAATACTAGCGTTATATCTGTGTCAGTTTACTCGTTGTCCCAAAAATATATTAGAATATGGCCAATAATACTGGAAATGAAAGAAATGAAAGAGAAAATTAACCTTCGACACAAAGAACGTAAGAAAAAAGACTATAAGAAGCTTAATTCAGGTATTTGCTTGCTTTGAAATTTATTGTTGCTTTCGAAATAATCCTCTTATAATATACAGAACACAATTTTATATTGAAGGTGCAGTAAGATAATATTGATTTTTCTGGAAATGTCACGAAAAATCACGTGACATTTCCGGCGTCACATAATTACCAGTGGTACCACTACCACAGTATCTGGGACTTTTGAATTTTTTTAGTAACAAAATCCTACTCGTTACGCACTATCCGTCACATGTACACCACACTTAATTTCAGTCAAGTTGCATAATGCCGGTCATTTCGTGACTTATTTCAGGTTGCTGGGGTAGTCGATAATGTTTAACTAGAGGTGCTAGAAACATTAATACCAAAGTTTAAAATAATAATTATTGATTGATGGGCTTGACTCCCCAATATGGTTAAAATTGAGAAAATTAAGAAACTTTGTATTCTTAAGGGTTCATATGGTTGCTGCAGTTGTCTTTTCCGATTTTGCTGTTGTGATTCCTGCTCTTGCTGCTCCAAATCTTTTGATTTTTCGCTCTAACGGTAGTGTAGGCCGACATTACGATAGTTCCGGCCAGCATTAAAACTCGAGACTACTCTGAGTTATAAGATCTAACACCTCTAAACAATTCTCTAGTCATCGCCTCCTAAATACATGCCCCTTTGAGAGGTCAAGAGACAAATCCATAAGGCCCCTGGTAACTTACAATCGTAAATACAAGTAGTGATTTGACTGTTAAAGCCAATATTGATATGCAGTACCTAACGTGTACCAGGAATTGAACACATGAAAGGTATCAATGCTCGATAAGTATTAATAATGGTATCAGGACATTTCGCCCAAGCCATTTCGCCGCCGAAGGGATGTTTTATCGAAGGGACGTTTCGCCGAAGGGACGCTTCGCCGAATGGACATTTCACCTAATCCATTTCACCGAATGGACATTTGCCGAAACATTATTTATTACATTTGTTTACTTTATTGTTTTATACTAAATACATGAAGAAATCTTTTCTAGAAAAATTTTTGAATTAGCTAATTTTTATTAAATTTGTCTTGTTGTTTATAATATATTAATCATTTTTTACTGAATAAATGTTTTCAGGAAAATAAAGTTATTTATTTATTCGTTGCTTTAACAATTAATATCAGTTACTTGAATGTCAAAGTGATAATATCATAGAAGAAAAGACACTTAAAAAATAAAAAGAATTTTTTTGTTTAAACGTTTATTTAATTTTTATTTTTATTGCAAAAATAGGTGACGTGGCAAAAGAATGTAATATAAAAACTAAAAAATGAAAATATTAAAGTACTCAATCAAGAATCGAAGATATTATTCAACGTCTAAGTTTTATTTATACATTTGTCATTTGTATATTGGAGTGTAAATCAGAATATCTATTAAGGTTTCTGATGTAATTTAATAAATAAATAAATAAATAAAATTTTTTTATTTTCATTACGCGATTAATATTTTTATAAAGTGATAATCGCTATCATTTCTATCATTTTCGGCGAAATGGCTTCGGCGAACGTTCCTTTGGCGAAACATCCCTTCGGTGAAATGTACCGTAACCATTAATAATTCACGGCAATTAATTAATAAATTCGAAATTATATGTTCAGATAATTATATGAATTTACCAAAAACAAAAGTCCAAGAACTAGTGACCATTAGGATAGGAAGTGAACAGCAGTGGTACAGAAGCAGCCTTTTTAGGTGGTATAACCTTTATCACAAGTGTTGTCGGCCAGCAGTAGAACCTAATCTCCCTGACCCTAGTTTAGAACTCAGTCATAAGTCATATAATCATAATAATAATTTCGGCCAGAATTAGTATAATTTTACTACGACCTAGCCATGATTGGTTCCAAATTATTATGGTGCATTTTTAATTATAGCTTATACATAATCAATCGTCCGTGAACGTAAAAAATTAATTAACCCAATTTAGACCTCCTGATCACGTGGTTCTAGCGAATAAAGAGTCAAAATGAATTGAGTTTGATACTTAATCAAGAATTAATTATATATAATTAAATAGCCTCGCTGTTTCGTAAGATAATGAATATTCATTATTTACTATCTATAAAAATTTTTATCTCGTCAGAATAAAAAGGAATTTTTTCCAGAAATTCTTTTCAAAATTAATTTTTCAACTAATTTAATTAATTGCTATAAAAAATAAACGGTTTGTATTAGACTTTATATTCTTTAAGTAAAAAAATTAATAATGAAAAAATTTACTGTTTCAAACTTATTTATTCGTACCAAGTTTTCCGTAAATGTAGTACAATCACAGAATTTATAATTAGGTTTCCTATAACAGAAAATATCTATAACGGAATATTGGATAAAATTTTTTATCATCCTTATTATTCATTTGAAACACAAATATTTATTTAGATAACATGAATATTATTTAAGATATCTATCTCGAACTTATTTTAGATATTTGTCGGATAAAACTCGCGACAATATTACGCGTGAGACGAAAAGAATATCAAAGTTGCAGAGATTAAGTTAATTAAATTATATCTGATTATTTAAGCTCGCAAATAAATTAAATTAGTATAATGCACTTATTAATTAATCTTTGCAATGTTTATATTAAATTCTCTCTCCCGACGGCTGACACAAATTATTACAAAGTTGAACTGTTTTTTACATTCCCGTAAAAGGCAAATATTTCCGGAGTCTATAGCCTTATATCACAGAATTTATCGAATTATTTACATTTTCTGTGAATGGATCCGTGAAAGCTCATTTTTACGGAGTTTTTAAAGAAATAACGGATAAAATTTTTTATAGGGATACTCCCAGAAAAATTCATAGTAATGATGAGTGTATGTAATAATTAATAATATCGGAGATTTTTAAATTTCTAAGTTTGTTGCCATACTTAATATTACCTATAAAAAAATCTCTGATAAATTTTATTTTACTTTAAAAAGGGCGGTTATTCTAGTCAATCTATTTCACAGGAACGGCACAAGTCCGACCATACTGACTATTAAAAATTGAGCTATAATACCTATCCAAAACTCATCGAATCAGACCCACCCTTCAGGAAAAACATTCTGCGGAGCGGGAGACATGCGCTACCGTCCAAAAAATTATCCGATAAATGATCATTTTTCTAGTTTTTATTCCGAAGAAACTTAGACACGTGATCATTTTCCGAAAATTTTTTATAGGGATTCGAGACAAACAAATCACGTAAAATACGCAAATATTTTAAGCCATATACTGTTTTTTTTAATTATGCGTAAAAATTTACCGTATGATACGTATTATACCAATAGTTATTAGTTATTCAAAATATTTATGAATGCCATTGGTCCAGGATCATAATAAGACTTTGTAATCCAAATGAAGAACACTAAAGAGATTATATACTACTGTATGCAGTAATACTATCGACTGAGATGAGTTTCATTTATTGTAGTAAAGAGAATTAATTAAACACGAAATAAATATTACGCAAATTTATACAATATTTATATTATGATGTAAATAACAATTTATGAGCGGTATTTTTCTTTAATTTAATGATTTAGCCGTTGAATCGGAATTTCGGGATAGACTTTATCCTTAGTAGGATTAGCATGCAGGGTTAGCAGGCTTAGCTTTTTATCAATAGCTTGATTAGTAGGCTTTGCAGGCTGGCAGGCTTAGCAGGGTTAGTAGGCTTGGTAGGCTTAGCAATGTTAGTAGGCTTGGCAGGGTTAGCAGGCATCAATATTTATTTGTTTATTTTAGCTGATCTGCAGAAAATTTAAATCGATTACACGGATATTTAAATCGATGATTTTCATTAGTTAAGTGATATGCAAAATTAATACCGGTGCGACAATAATGATTATGTCATTATGATGTGACCTTCATTGTTAGTCATGGTATTTTCAACATTCAACCCTAAATATAACCCACAGTGTAGATAATTCGAAGAGTTTAAGGAATTTAACTGACTGATTCGTTATTAGTGCTCCAAGACTGGTTTTCGGTCTCCGGTTTCAGACCGGTTTCAATCTACCTAAAAAGGAAAAATTAGTTAAACCGGTCTTGGTTTCTTTAGGCCAAACCGGTTTGAAACCGGTTTGAAGACCGGTCTTGGAGCACTATTCGTTATAATGAGAGATGTTTGACGTATTTGATTGGCTATAAATGTCACGTGTTGATAAATTCGTTATATAGCGAGTTTGTTATATCAAGAGCTGACTGTATATGGTATAAATTTTGATATAGAAATAAGGAACTATACTAATTATACATACCTATATACAACAGAGATTGTATTATTTATTTTCAATTGCTCCATTGTTTATATAATAATACCAATTAATGTATTCGAATAAAAAGCCTTAAAAAAGAATTTTCCATATATCACCCATTCGAAAATGTAATGTTTGGATATCCTCTCTATAAAAACTATTTTAGAAAATTGATCATATGTTGGAGTCTTTTTCAGATAATAACTAGTAGGAAAATGATCATTTATCGGAGTTTTTCTATTTTTAACTGTTGCTAAATTCCTACTTCATCCAACCGTATCATTTGTTGTTGTTGTTGCAATGTTTTGATTTACAACAAATTTTATCCCTTAAAAAACTGAATTTAAACAATTCATACACTGTCGTACAAGTAGCTCGTACAACTGATCGATATAAACAATAATTTATCATAATTTTTTTCTATTTACGTATTACAATCCGGAAATTTAATTCTTAGATGTGTTATCTTCTATTGTTCTCGTATAGGTGCCGCCGGAATTGCCGAATTTAAATTATGGCATCACAAAATATGGACTTTACTATTTAAATATTTAACAAATCATCGAGACCAGCATTATAGATTACGGATTACAAATTATCTACGGCATAACTGGAAAAAAAATATTTACTTACTTTGTGTAATTTTTGTATTTTTGACATTAAATAATTACGGCATTACGGCAAATATATTCCGACGGCAAGTATATGTTCTCGTGAAATTTGTGTCTCTCCGTATCCCATTTGCAATTATATGATTCTCTTCAATTACAAAATTGCGTGATTTATACGTCAGTATTTTTAATAAATATTATGTGAGAATCATGAAGTTTAGTTAAATAACCTGATAAAACTGAGTATTTGAGTATTCTGAGTATTCTGGTTCTACATTAAAGATTTGGATTTTTTCTTTTATTATTTTACAAATTGCAACCGGTTAGGAGTAAACATTACTATCATAAATTATCCGTAATTTATACAGTACGTCTACTACTGCAAACAATTCAGTTGTGCCAGTTAAAAATAGAGGCGCATCGATAAGTAATCATAATAACGAGAAATCAGAATGCATTATGCTCATTAATAATCACAACAGTTTTATAAAAATCAATTCAATTTTAATGTAATCATCTAGTCCAAAAAAAGCATGGTTTATCACTTTCAAATTTTCCGAAATCGTTAATGCCATAAAGAATTGGATATAACTTAATATGCTAAACAACTTATGGGTATCCGAGATCGGCATCAGACAACAGCAGACTTTGCATTATACACGCAATTAATTAGATTATTGGATTAAAAACGAATATCTTTTTGTTTATATGTGTATTTTGAATCGGAGCAATGGACTTCTTTATTATCTCAAATCGAGTAATATGATTTTCGCTCAAAAACCTCAGTTACCGGAAATTAGCTATTATTAATACATGTTTAATAATAACACAAAATAATTTTTAATCTAAAATGGATAAATTGTTTTCCCTATACCTATCGATCGTCACAGATAAGAAAATTAAGAAAATGAATACATATAAGTAAATAAAAGAGTTCTAACCTAATTAAGCAGGTAATCGATAAAAAAAATTTTTTTTTTGTAATGAACAAGATATTTTGGTGAGTTCAGTTATTCTGATTAATAATCTTGTAAATATTCTATGTACTAAATTAATCATAATAACAAAACGCTTATTCTATTCACTACTAAAAATGGCAGTTACAAGTTTGATACAGAGTTTCAATCGCAATAACAATAAAAACGAATTTACGGATTATATGAATATTATGCGTCGTAAGATAATATTGTTCATTATTCATTTATTCATTTATTTTTAATTTTAATTTAAATTTAATTTAATTTAATTTATTATTATTATTATTATTATTTGAAGGAGAACTGCGTGACTATCGTATAATTTATATAAAGAAACAAGATTTAACATAATACATAATTTCAGAGTTTTCGCAATCAAAAAGAAATTTTATTGTAATAATTACAAATTTGGGTACATAGAGTCATAACTATTTGTAAGGATTGTTTGTAAACTTGCATAAACTTTCGGAATGTATAGGAATTGTTGTAACATTTAGTTGCGCGTTTGTATTCAGAGTTTTTGAATAAACAGTAGTATTTTCAGGATAATCCGTAATTTAACCAACTGATATACTGCACATGTTTCCCATTCTTTTTTAAGACCTTTATCAAAATTATATAAATGATTTGGAAATCTTCTAATTGCATGCAGCGAATCATTTATTTAAATTTTTAGAATTCATGAATGATAAAATTACATACTCTATCCATACCAATGTGGCCAAATATTGCCAAATTTCGTCTCATTTAAATATGGCATATCGATTATGTATAATATATCGTGTCGCTCAAATAATTTGCACAATGTGTTTCAATTTGAAACACTGATTTAGGACAATACCATACGAGATAAGTAACGGCACATATAAACACAAAATATTTGCTTATTAAACAAAGGAAGCACCCAAGAGCACAATGGATGTTATAATTTTTCGATTGTTTAAAAATTTTTAATTTTAAATAAGCTCAAACTGTGTAAAAAAAAAGAGATTATCTTAAAGGCCAATAATAATAGATAATCTCAAAGTTGTAATTTTTAATAATTATATTGCCAAGCATCAATATAATTGATTATATAATTTTTTTATAAACATTATTGCTTTATTTGATTAGTACAAAGATAATTTACTTGTTACAAAATTGTGATCGAAAACAATACATGCAAAGAATTAATTTCATTAACCAAAAAAATAACATTATTTAAAGTTTGTGCTATAATTTAAGCAACAAATAATTTTATCCTTATAAGACAATTTATTGGATCAATGCGTTTATAAATAATGGCAAAGAATTTTTTTTCTTTTTCATAGAATTAAATTAAAATTTACAGGATTAAAATTCTATATACCCAACAGCTTTCATTCATTCATAAATATTTCGTATAAGTGCTCAATCCTGGTCTCTCCTGGATCACGTCAATAATATGAATGCCAACAACCAGACAATTCCTAATTACTCTTCGCCATATATGCAAGATTATCAGGAACACTCATTTTTATCAGCTCGTCCTCAAGAAAATATTTTCACGAATAAATGCTCGTTTTTTTATGCGCCAAGCAACGATTTCCAATTGTATCACGTCCTCTGTGAGGAAATGCCGTTGACTTTTGAACTTGTATCGCAATTAATAGACGATACTGATAGTAACTCAATTCATAATTGTTCTCAGTTTAATAATATTTATGAATTTTACCATCAACAACCTGAAGTTAAGAAAATCTATCGAGTAACTTGCGAAATGATTTCACATACACTTATATTTCAATTTTTGAATAAAATCATTTATGGTAATCATTCCATTCAATGCGAATATCAGCAGCAAGAATTTTCTAAGAGTCATCAAGAAAATCTTAAATTTCATTTGAAAAAAGACTTAATTCATTACTTGACATCAAGCTCGCCGACTTATGGACAAAACTTTGATTTATTTAAGATTTTTATTCAAGATTATTATGCATATGAAGGCATGATTAACCCTAATAGTACACCAACAGTTAATTCTCAAAATGATAGATACAATCAAGAGTATTATGGTAATAATTATTTTCAATATTAGTTTTTTTTTACACCAACATAAGAATTTAAGAATTTATATTTATTAAGGTAATAACATTCACATAATTTCAATATGAAAAAAAAATTCGCTTTGGATAAATGCCAATAAATATTTCATATATAACATCCGATACAAATTATTATTAAAATTCTAGTTGTTGCTTCGCACCAGGATTGGCTGCAATCCTGGCCAGAATTATATGATTGGCATATAAATTTTGCTTTTTTGAAATTTTGTTTAACGTAATAGACTGGTCAATGGAAGCAAGGTGACACAATTTAGGATTTATTTATACAGGTAATCTAAATGTTACAAATTTTTTTAATCATATAAATTATATAGATTTTTAAATTGTATAGATTAACGGCTGTAGTTTTGACCGATTTTTATAGATCGCTCTTATTTTACTATCCATAAAAATATTTATTAAGTTCTATCACTAATAAATGAACACAACACAATGGACCTATTTGTTTTTAATCGTATTTAATTTATTTGTAGACAAAAACTATTTTATGAATAAAAAATGAATTCAAGTCTAATGAGGATTTTAAATGTATCTCAAATTGTTTTATTTGAACAGTAGAATCATTACAGATTGCAAATTAATCAGTGTATATTAAGTATTAATTTGAAGATGAACTTCTCTAATTCCGAATTCCAGAAACCCTTAGTACAGATAAATTTTCAGAAAACAGTATTTTTTCTATATATTTACAAAATGATCTAATGATAAATTATTGGATCCTAATCATGACATCAATTAGAGTAATAATGACCGTATTCACCGTAATATATCAAAGTATTTTAATGCGTATTTCACATTCATAGTATTAGGGCATTATAAATTACAGAGAATTTCGGGATTAGCGGTAAGGATTTTTGATCGTTGATTTCTGTATGGCATGGAGCAGAATCTAAAAAACTTTTTAGATTTCTTGTTTAAATATTGAAAATCTTTTATAATATTTTGATGCCACAATGGTGATTTATGTCATAACCATTTGTTAGCTGATTAAGGTTTCATTAAGTATGTGTTATTCTTTTGTCACTACTGTACCAAAGTATTAATTGACGATCATACTAAACCATGAAAATCAATAATATATGGTTTGTTTGATGCCCAAATATGGTCCAGATTTTTAAATGATAAATTATATAAATTATTTTAATTAACGTTTCACTCTTCATACTACCGAAAAGGTTTTGGTACCACCAATAAAAAAGCTTAGATCTGGGCCTTACATAAATCTTGAAGCTTAAAGCATATTCTAAACTTAAAATAAGGTTAATATATATTGAAAAAAAAGCGATGGAAGTATGATACGTAATAAAATTCACTATGAAAATTATAAAAATGTAAAAAAAAAATGAAAATAATGATTAATTTAGTTAAATATTGATATGTTGTGTAATAATTACCGTTTACTTTTTTTTTAAAAAAAAGAAAAAAATATAATATTTCTCAGTAAATTAAAGTTGAAGTTGGTTTTCTTTTTTTATTTTACCATCTTTTTAAAAGATTATCGTTATCTGAATTAAATAAAATAATATAATCTCCAATAATATTTTGAATTATTTTTTTTTTTAAAAAAAAAAATAAATCTGGAATTTTTTGCCGTTATGCAAGAGGAATCAGAATATTAGTGACCATCACATGATGATCACACAAGTTTAACACGCAAAAAATATGAGCGGGTATTTCAAGTGATGACTAGACATGCATATTGCACCTTAATTTGTATAGTTCTGAATGAGACAGCAAATTACAGTCATCCTCCCATATAATCACACCCTTCGGGACCAAAAAAAAATGGTGTGACTATAAAAATTATATATGATGTGATTAAAGGGAAGGGTTTTTTAATAAGTTTATTAGTAACTTGGGATTAATGTAAATGTGCTTATAAGGGAGTTGTGATTATACAGGGGGTGACTATATGGGAGGACGACTGTATTATGAAAAAATTGCCGACTTGATCTTAATTCCGGCCCAGTCTAATAAAATACGATGCTCACATTAAATCAAGAGTTAAGAGTTTATAGTTAGACTGATTGATATGATGATTTATTATATACATGTGCATCGCATATGCCTATTCGGCTATTCCTATTCTGTCTTATGCTTTACGCACATGCTTTAGATCAGCTTTTTGTAAATAAAGGTTCAAAAAAAAAATAATAATCTAAAAAGCATGAAAAGCATGATTTGTAATATAATATTAACCAGCTATCATACTGACGAACTGGAATTTTTTTTATTTACTTATAATAGTTATATTGAAAATTAATCTATCATCATTACATAAAAAAAAATTTTTAACATATTTAATTTAACATAATTTCTTATTAATAATACTATTTTTAACATTTCTAACTTTCGACTATATACTACTCCACCATATGTAACTTTTCTTCAAGAAACTTATATTACGAATAACCATTCGTTCTTCTATAAACCATGCAATGACTTTCCCAACCCCATTCGTAATGACAGTATTAATACATTTTGTCACGAAAAAACCTGAAATTAAAAAAAAATTACAAAGTAACATGTGAAATGGTTCCGTATGCATTTATATTTCTGTTTTTAAAATAAATTATTTAAAATTTGATTCACTAAAAGTGAAAACATCAATAATTTCTGAGATATATCGGGAAATCTAAAAGTATATAATGAATTCTAATACAAAAGTATTTTAAGTTTTTTTTTTTTTCAAAAATGCAATGTAAATGCTCCTCTTAAGACTTATGTTGTCATAACCGTACGTTTTGATATATGACCTTATGTAAGCTAGGTTTATGTAATTCGAAAGTTCGAAAAGTATGTGAAATATGAACAATATTTTGTTCATCTATTAAGGAGGGTATCATTTTTTAAATTCTTATACAATATGAACTTTAACATAAAATAGAATAAAATTTGATGGCCAAATAACCATCATTTAAATTCTGTTACATTCATAACGAATCTTTAAAGAAGAAACTAAAAGATTTGCCATCAAGTAAATTAAAACATTAAAACTTTGGATTTATGTTATTCTACTATTAATGTTGCAAATTCACAGAATTTATAGCTAATAAAAAAAGGAAAAAACCGGGGTTGCTAGTTCACACATCTACGGAGATATTTCACCCCTATTAAAAAGGGACCATTTGAAAAAATATCTCTTTTATGATATTACAAATTGAATCATATTAATTACCGTATACATCCGAAATCAAGCACCCTTTTTGACCGTAATGCTGGCCGGGAACAGCATAATGTAGGCCATAATTTTCATAATTCTGGCCAGGGTGCTATTTTGGGGTGCTTAATTTCGGATGTATACGGTAATAAAATGGCTTGATTATATAACAGATAATCAGATCTAGTTTTAAATACAAAGTTATTTTCAATGGGAAATTGAACCTATCACTTAGATCAGGCCATTATTTTTTATTGGTGGCCTGATTCTTGCATGCATAAATTTTAGATTGGCTGTTTCACGCATCGATCATTATTAGTTTATGTGTACAAAAATAAATCTTATTATCCCATCGGTATTATGTAGTATACACCGATGGATTTTTTTGTAAATTACTCCACCAGAATCGATTCCCATAATTAGAATCGATTTTAGAATCGATCAATCGCGATTAATCGTTTCTCAAATTTCGATTCTAAATTCGATTTTCGATTCTGATTAATCGTTTCTAATTGATTGTGCACCGTTAAATTTGTGGCAAAGCAATTCCAATGATCAAAAATTTAACATTCTATTTATTTTAGTGTTGGTCGCCGTAATATTTATAACTGGTGCAACTTTATGTCGTAATTAATACGTATCACGTGACTTATGATACTAAGCGATCAGTATGACATGTCCTTTTTGGAAATTTGTGCAACAATAGCTTCCGATCTGATCCGATTTTCACAAAAACGGCGTAAATTGAGCAGAAAAATCCGCGTTATAATCTATTTCCATTCTGTTCCAATTTTTTTCTTTTTATAATTATGTCTAAGAAGGATATTGAATATGCTTTAACGTTATTAACAATACAGGATTTATACAGGATTTAAATGACTCTTTTGACTCTTTTAATGATGATGAATTAGATAATAATAATGATTTAATGATATACGGTTTAAAAAAGTTATACGAATGGAAAGACAACAGTTTAACAAGCTAGTGCAAGTTTTACAGAATGATACAGTTTTTCAAAACAAAGGAAATAAGCCGCAGGCACCAGTTGAATTTCAATTAGTAATATTTCTTAGGCGTTTAGGTTCTAAAGATGATATTTTAAGTATTTGTTCTCGATTTGGAATATGTGAAGGTACTGTAATTCTTTATATTAACCATGTAATGAAGGCCATTAGAAATAAAAAATTGGAGTTTGTTCAATGGCCTAAGAATAATAATAATCATGCTATTGTTCATGCAGGGACTCATTTTATTTCAAATTAGGCACCTGCACAAGATCCAACAGCATTTTTTACAAGAAATACGCAATTAATTGTCAAGGAATTGTTGATTTTAAAGGAATTTTTATTAATTATATAATAGGATGGCCAGGATCAGTGCATGATGCACGAGTCTATGCTAATTCAGATTTTTTTCTTAATACAGCAAAATATATTGAAGGAGATGATTATGTGTTAGGTGATTCAGCATATCCAATCTCTTCCTTTTTAATTACTCCTTTTAAAAATCCTTTTAATCATTGACAATGTCAATTTAACTTTATTCATTCAAAATATAGAGTTGTTGTAGAACATGCCTTTGGTAGATTAAAGGCTAGATTCAAAGCATTAAAAGAATTATCTGTAAAAGATATAAAGACAGCAATTAAATTAGCAGATTGTGGTATAACTTTCTTGAAATTTGTGGGGAAATTTGGAAGATTAACGATCAAAATGATGATGATGATGATGATGATGATAATGATCGATATGATTGGGAAGATGAAAGTGATGAAATTTTAAAATTAGAAGGCGAACTTAAAAAGAGAAAGAATGTTAAATCAATATGTAGCATAACAAGTAATTGATAAGCAAATTTTACAAAAAAAAATATTTATATTATATTATATTTAACAAATTTATTTAATTATGTAAGGCAAACTTCATAATCTATACAAAATTTTCATTCATTATTTTTGCGAAATTTTAACATCTCATTTTCAGCACGCAATCTTTCTATCTCCAACTTACTCTTTTCCAGCTCATATTGCTGAATTAATTCCTTTTCCTCCAATTCAAATTTCTTTTGGCTTTCACGCTCCTCTAAGTCTAGTTTTTTTCATGAAATCTATCCCTTGATTCTCCCATTGCTGCAATTACCCCAGATATACCTTCAATTCCTGTTGATTTTCCTTTCTTTTTTCGTGTTTCATCAGCCTTATAATTTTCTTTATTATCTGAATTTTCGCCATCAGAAATAGGAGGAGAATCTGAAGTTGAATCTGTAACATAATCCGGGTTGATGGCTTTACTCTGTGGCAAAATTTCTTCCATTTGTGAGAACCAAATCCATTCTAAACTACCTTCACCAGTAGGATTAGCTTTTTTCTTTTTTTGCAAATACGTTTCACGCAATTTCCCAAACTTATTTCTGATTTGATCAAGAGTACGTCCTGGTAACACGTTTTCATTTATAATTTTTTGATAAGGCCACACAAATTCGATTTTTCGATTCACTTCACCCCGCCGGGTCACTTTTTCAAATTTCAATATATATATAAAGTTTGTCACGTTACGTGATCAGAACGTAATTTTATTGGCGGGGTAAGTTTATCACGTGTCTGAGAACTTCTGGAGCGAAAATAAATTCCTCCCCTTTAAAAGTCAACCAATCAGATGGCACGATTTTATATATAAACTTTTTTTATTAATAAACAATAAACCCCGGGTCCCCGGGTCGATTTTAAATTTCAATGTTACGTGAACCGAAAAATTGAATTTGTGTGGCCTTAGGCGAAAATTGGTTCTCATAACCGTCGATCTAGTTTTAAGAAAATTTACAGGAAAATTTTGTTAATATTAATAATTAGCAGATTATTCAGTTTATGTAAAGAAAAAAAATTTAAAAAAATTTGGGACTACCATTTTTAACTTACAATATATAAAATTTTTAAATAAAAATACCGACCGCCGACCTCAAAATTTTAAATCCATGAAACGAGAACCAATTTTGACTTCATTTGTAATATTTATTAATTAGTCAGCGAAATATTTACAATTTGTAGTAATTAATCTTGGCGTGATACAATCTAATAATCAGCCGGTTGCACTGAATTAATGACAAATTCTATTGAATTAACCTAATATCAAGTGGACGTGGCTTAGAAAATTTATTATATACTCATATACGGAATCTGCAAAAATACATTGACGCGTCGTTATTTTTCTTTTATAGACACAAAGAGATTAATTGAAAAATAATATATTACTTTTTTTTTTATAATTAATGATTAATGACAAAATAATTTATTATTTTTTTTTTTATTTAATATTTAGTTTTATGCGGTTGTAGTTTAGTATTTATTACCTAATTAATGTACTTCACTAATTAAAATAAAATTTTTTTAATTTAGAAATAAAAAAGTATTAAATGAACGCAAATATAAATATCTTGTTTATCACATATCGCATATTTTGACCGGGTCAAGAAAGTAATACGAGGAGGGTCAAGAACGTAATTTTTGCCACTCCAACAGATTCGACGATCGATTACGCATCGACTATTATTTGCACGCGGGTGGTTGGAATAGTTATATTCACGATTGTCACGACCGACAATCTATTTATAGAAATCATTCATCTTTTATAGATTATGTTTCATTATTTTCTTTTTTCTTTAATATAGATTTTTACATTACTTCATTTAATTTTTCTTTTTTTTCGGCGTCTTCTTCTGGTGTTAATTAGCCTGGTCATGCCTAGGGTTCTTTGAGAATAATGGGCAGGGCGACTCCTTTTCCGGTGCCTAGGGGGTTGGACGAACTCGCAATAGTTTAGTTTTGTATCGTTTTTGTAACGCGTATGCTTGTAGTCCCGGCTTTTGTCTCATATTTTAAAAATAAAAATAAAAATAAATAAAAATTTGATCAACCGCTATGCAATATTCCTTCTTTGAAAATAATATTTTTTCTCTCTTTAAATGGTAAAAACTTTGAAATCGCAAGTAAGAAAATAAGTATTTCTTGTCTTTTGTTATTTTCACGTCTCTTTTTTTTTATTGAGGACGTTATTAACGCTTTCTTTTTTTAGGAATACCTTGAATTTCGGTATAGACTTTGAAATCATAAGGTGGGTTTCTTTATTTTTTTATCTTTTTTTTGTTTGAAAATATTATTAGATCTTTCTCACTCTCTTTTTTCGGAACACCTTGAGCTTTGGTATAGACTTTAAAATCATGAGTAGAAAGGTGAGTTTCTTGATTTTTTATTATTTTTGCGTCTTTTTTTTGTTTAATAATGTTACTAAAGTTTTTTCTCTCTTTTTTTTTAGGAATGGTATGGATTTTGAAATAATGGTGAGTTTCTTGTTATTTTGGTGTCTTTTTTTTATTTGAGAGTACTATCAGTGTTTTCTTTCTTTCTTTCCCTTTTTTTAGGAATATCACAGGTCTTGATATGGGCTTTGAAATCATAAGAAGGCGAATTTCTTGGTTTTTTTATTATTTTGGTGGATTTTTTTTTATTAAGATCGCTATTAACGTTCTCTCTTTTTCTTTTTTAGGTTTACCTGGACTTCAGTATGGGTTTTAAAATCGCAAATATTATTATTTTGGTGTCTTTTTATTTGAGAACACTTTTTTAAAAAGCCATTTCAAGTTCAAAAAAAAAATAATAATAATAACCAAAAAGCCGTATGTGTTTATTTGATAAATAATTAGCCAATCAAATTTTAAAAAAAATAAAGGGGTGCGTTTCAGCGTTTGAATGTAGGGTTTAAACTCTATTATGAAATCAGCTATGCATAATGATGTATTAAATATTGATCATCAAAAAAATGGGATAACTGATAATCCGGTTTTAATTAAAAATTCGAAGTTCACGTTGATTGACAGATAAAAAAACCAAATTTGTGTAATCATACATTTCTATTTAATCTTATATGGATTACTTTCAGTTCGTCTCTTTTTATTAAAAATACGTAAGCAATTATAAAGTTTAGCATTTATATAAACTCACATGTCCTAAAAATACCTATTTTGAGAACAGGTTAAGGGCACCAGACATATTTTTGACTATAAAAGTACAATGATAATTTTAAAGTTAAAGAATATACTAATTAGTCCGAAGTGTAACGTACTCCGCTTGATGACGGGATGTCCGTCCGGCCAATAAGACTTTAAAGTTTAAATGGCACTTCGTTTAATAACGGTTTCCGTTTAGTGATATTAATTTTTATTAAAAGTACAAAATAAACGTTACCGAGAACATTGATACATAAAAATATAAAAGTAAATCTCACCAATTTACGAGTGTCTAAAAGACATGTATGGCTTAAAAAAAATGATCGACATGCATAATCAGTGGTCAATTTAAATTTCGAGATTTCGTGTAGGAAATATATCTTAAGCGTTGTTTAAATAAACTCAGATGTAATTTAATTTATACGGAAAAAATAATTCGTAAAACATCTGATTATCTTATGTTGATTTCAAAGATAACGATAATAATGTTCCAAAAATGAAAAAACATTTTGATACTATTTAACATAAACCATATAAACCTTAAACCAAAATTGGGTATAACAATAATAATGGGCGGAAGTCAGTGAGAGGGAAAAAGTCCAAAAAATTATTTCGACATAATTTTCTGATCACATCATTGTGCATAAAAGAAATCTTGTAACCCACTTAAAAATAAATTAGAAATTCTCTTTTGAATTGACATGATAATGTATTCTATCAAATATACAATGTGAAAAGATATCATTTAAAATCTATTTTTAGATTGTCGATCGAAATTTTCGGAAATTTACGGTAACTCGTAAAGTATAAAACATGTTATGTTCACATGTGTTTTGGATTATACTTTTTTGTTTCACACACATACAAAATTCCTATTTGAATTATATGCATAAAATGTCATCTTTTTAGAATTATGGATAAATATTCTGAATATTCGGATATTCCGATTTTGAATTCTTTTGGATTAATACTACTATAACACAAGTTATATCATCTAATAGTTAATACTTTATTTTTTGTGAAGTAACCTGACTTTTGCATGCATAAATTTGTAACCGGATTTTGTGGCTAAAAAAAAGCTTGGCAACGGAACAATATTCCTTAGGAGTAAAATCGTAAAAAAAAACTAAAAATTAAATGACATCATCAATAAAATGCTCTAGATATTTAGTAGGTAACACGTTTTGGTATGAGTTGTTAAGAATGTTTGCGTACTTTATATGTTTATGGAAAAACTTATACATAATATTTATCCAATTTTTTTTAAAGGATAAATGGGCAATTATTATTTCTGCATTTTAAGGATTCTTGGAAGGACAAATGGTATTTATTGTTGACTTAAAAATATTAAAATAGAAAATTCTATAAATAATTTCAAGTGACTAAAATTCATATATTTGTAGTGTTACGTTCTTATAATTTGGCTATATGTATGTATATATTATCCCCTTTTTATCGATCTACAAGGCACTTACGGTTAACGGGAAATGTTGAAAACATGATCCTACATAGTAACCCGCTCATGTAGTTTATCCAGATATAGCTTTCCAAAATACTCTAGTGTCATGATGATCATACCCCCATAATGAAAATTCGAAAAATATGTATTTAGTATACTTGCCGTCGGAATTAATTACGCCATATGAAGTTTTATAGTGTAATATATATATTAAATCGCCGTAATGCCATAATTATTTAATGTCAAAAATACAAAATTACACATATTTTTTTCTGATTATACCGTAGATAATTTGTAATTCGTAAATCTATAATGCTGGTCTCGATGATTTGTTAAATATTTAAATGGTAAAATCCATATTTTGTGATGCCGTAATTTCAATTCGGCAATTCCGACGGCACCTATAGTATTTATTTATATCGCCCTTTGCGTTAGAAGTGATTTTTAAGAGATTTTACTCAAAATTATTTTTGTAATACCAAAAAATCATGTGACAGATGATAAATAATGAGTTTAGTTGAGTAAAAATCTACGTTTGAGAAACTCAATTACTTAACATGGCGTAAAAAGACCCATTTACCTTCTTATAATTACAAAAGTTAGAGGTAGTATGAACGGTAGTTCTTCCTCGTACGGTCGCACCATATTATTAATTGTCAAGAAATTTACAGATTAATTCATTCCTTATATAAAGCTATCTTAAAGTCCATTTAAAAAAAAAAACTTCGCCCTAAAGGTTCTTTCCCCTCTCTTCTTAGGACGTTTTCTGAAATAATGGCAAAAGATAGCAACTAATGCGCACAGATATCAAAATTTGATGCAAATGAAACGTTTTATTAAAATGCTATTATAATTATTAAGAAAAATAAAGCTTTTTTTTACTTATGATATAATGATATTGAATTTGGGGCATAATCAATCAAAAAATTGGATAAAGAGCTCGTTCTCAATATCCGGTGGGAATCACGATAAACAATCCGAAAACATTATTCGTTACTAAATTGTATTACAGCTGATTTCATAATATACGGGACATACTGAGAGACAACTCGGTACATTCGGCACTGGTCCGAGCACAGTGGTGCAGTATTCTGACTTATAACGAATCTTACCGAGTTTCTCTCGGCATTGAGTAAAAATGATGGGTGTCCCCGTATACGTACAACAGTGAAATTCGATATAACGGAACCCCAATAAACCGGAACTGGCCTTATACCGGAACTTTTTTCCGGAACCAAATCACATATATTAAAATATAACGGAATTTATTAGTAAAATCTCGATAATAGCTATAACGGAACAAATTTTATTTTTTTTTTTATTTTTTATTTTCAAGATATAGACACGACTGGAGTAACGGAACAAATAACAGAACGGTTATAATAAAAATGGTTCGATATACCAGAACACGTGACGATTCACAATTTTAAAACCAATAAAATTACGGTATTTTCACGTGATACAGATAATCTCATTTTTTTTGAGCAACATGATAATTTTTTTTTTTTATAAAAAAATTATTTCGTATAGTAAGAAAAAGCAAAATTTTTTTAAGTTTTGGTAAATTTCAGTGTATAAAATTTCTCAAATAATGTTTTAAATAAAATAATCTAAATTTTCAATGTTCGTCGCACATGTCGCACAAATAAAAACTTGATATATCGGATTTATATATAAAATCCGGTATATCGAAATTTTTTGATATATCGGAAGTCTCGATATACCAGATATTTTTACTGGAACGGATGGTTCCGTTATATCGAATTTCACTGTGTATTATGAAATTGTATTAACACAAAAATACTAATATAATACATAGTATAACAATAATATATAATATTCGGCAATGCAATTTAACTTTGCCGAATATAAACAAAATAGGATTTACATTATATGTTAATAAATACTTTTATAGGTTAAACATTCCTGTGGTAGTACATTTTTATGATCAACAACCCAAAGAATTTATTCTGTAAAGTGTGATATTAAACATATTGTATACTTTAATTAAATACTCGGATTTCTTGAACCTATGCATAATATGCATACTCTGATTATTGATTATGGTAATTTATTCGAGGCAGAGAATTACTAGAATACAATTGAAATCGCAATTTCAATTGTCCGAAATTCGCAACGATTTTCTCATTTTAGATATATAAATAAATATTTATATTATTTTAATATAGCAGTTTTTCTGTCTATTTTTTAATACCATTTGACAATTTATGGACGTGTAATTTTTCCTTTTTTAGCACGTATTGTCCAATTGATACACAGATGTTTTCATTGAACTTTAACATATCAGTTTAGAGACATAATCTAGTCGCTATAAACATAGTCTAGTCAAAACTTAAAAAAAATTTTTAAGGAATTGGTATAATCATACGATATCGAGTTATAATACACAAGCAGTGTTTATTTTTCATGTTCGCAGCGCACATGATCAGAATTTTGCGCACACCTTTTTTAGAAAGGATGTGCGGCATGCGCACAAAAAATTCTTATGTGATTGGACGCATATGTATTACAGTACCTATTATAGTAGTATAGCCATACCACTTTGCCGCACAATAAATTGTGCGCCATCCGCACAGTAACTTTTTATCGAAAAATTAACACTGTTAACACAAGATTTTCTTTTATAAAGCAATTTTTTTTTATTTAAAAATTTTTTAAAAAAAATTAATACGAAAAAAAAATAACGTACAAATCACTCTATTCGCTCTAATTATATTGATCAAAGTTAACTTTCATTAAAACGACAATTATGAATGTTCCATATAGTCTTCAACCTAATACTCTTAACATTACTAATACTGTACAAGACATCCCAGCCGTTCTTATTAGTAATAGACCTAATGAATTGCAAATGTATCCTATTACCATGCCTCCTACTACATCTAATGAAAATCCATTGTTTCTTAATAATAATAACATCCAAGCAATACCACCAAGTCATTCTTTACAACCCACTCAAGACTATCTGGCATCTTATCCATGTTCATTAACCCATCATCAAGAAACTACTTTTGTGAGCGAATATTCGTTCTTTTATAAACCGTATAACGACTTTCAAATGTATCATATTGTTTGTGAAGAAATACCGTTATCTTATGAATTTGTCGCTCGGTTAATAAATAATCCAGACCTCATTCGTAGTAACAAGATTTGTAGATTTTATCACGAACAACCCGAGATAAAAAAAATTTATCAAGTAACATGTAAAATGGTTCCACATGCATTTATCTTTCAGTTCCTGAATAAAATTATTTACAATATTCAATCCACTAATGGCGAATATCAGCAGCAACAAGAATTTTCTGTTATTCTTCAGGAAAACCTGAAGTTTCATTTAAAAAGAGATTTAATTCATTATTTGATGCCAAAAAGCTTTCACGAAGAAAGTTATTATTTACATAAGAGATTTGTTCAAGATTATTGCAAATATGAAAGTATAATGGATTCTAAAACGGGAGCATTTAATACGTTTCAACATCAATGTTTTACTTCTCAAGGAAATTTACATCGCTTACAAAACGATAATAACGATAGTGTTAATTATGATCAACATTATTATAAAAATCAAACCTAATAATATAATATATATAATATGAAAATTAAGGTTAATAATAATTAGTTACAATATTGTAATTAGTTAAATTAGTTAATAAAACAACATATATACGACAATGTCCTATAATGGACCTTTACGTAATATTATTAAGAAAATTTAATTTTCTGGAGGAGAGTTACAACTATGCTTTGATTTATGACATAATATAGCTTAAATTTTCCATAATATGAAATACTATGTACAATATTTTTCAATTAATATGGACGGGTATTTTACATGAATAAAATTTTATTGATTATATGATCATTAATTTAGGAATTAATAAAATCGTTGGAACGAGAATAATGAGATTCGTTTTCAATTAGTAGGCAAATGTGTTGATTTATTTAATTTATATAACATACGCATCACGCTAAATCGGAGGCCAAATAATACAGATGGCTTGTCAAGTTTCATATTTTCTCTCCAAAAAAAAGGTTTGTATGCTATTTTCGACTTTAAGGAATTTCATTCGAGATGATGAAAATATTTACTTTAATAATAAAACACGTATCAAGTTTTTGACGATACGTATTTTTATATACTATACATTATACGAGGAAATTTCTTCCTGGTTAAACTCAGTTATTTTCTTTTTTAATTTAATAGATAAAAAAGTTTTTAATTAAGATTTATAAGATTTATAATATAATAAGTGTGAACATGAATAATTTCTTTTAATGAACGATATTTCTCTAATTTGAATTAAATTTCGGTTATTAGACGGATGAAAGTTTAATTTTATACACTAAATGTAAAAAACTACTAAAATATGTATATATATATTGTATGATGAATCGATTAGAAGTAAAAATATGTATTTATATTTGGCGTAGAAGAGATAGATCATTTCTAAATTTATCCTTTTTGTCGTGCATGAATAAACGCCTATATTATTATGGAAGTAGCTCCCCCAATAGCAGAAGTAGCTCCCAATAGCAGAAGTAGCTCACCTATAGCATAGTGCAGCAACCTGTAATCTAGAACTATCTAGGATTTGTGGCAGTGCGCCATTTTTTTTTTATTTTTTTTTTTAAAAAAAAAAAATTTAATGAATTTTTTAAATTGAAATTTTATTACCATAAATTTCATTGTTCGAGACCAAAAAAAAAAGGTTACGTAATAAAATAAAATAAAATAGAATAGAATAAATCATTTGGCTATTGTTTTTCTAAATTTTCCAGCAAAAAAATGATATATTTTACAAAAAAATTATATTTGATTAAAATATTTGAATATTAAAAATAATCCCTATAAAAAAAGTAGATACGGTTTTTTATACTGAAAGATACGTTTTGTATACTGAGAGATACGTCTAGATACGTCTAGATACGTTTTGAGATATGGAAAAATGCACAATTCCGTATCTTTCAAGACACGTTTTGTATACGGAGACACTGAAAAAACGTATCATGTGAGATACGTAATTGTGCATTTTCCCGTATCTAAACGTATCTAGACGTATCTATCAGTATACAATACGTATCTACTTTTTTTATAGGGAATAACCCCCATGATTGAAATCGGATTTTTTCGCATATAAATATTTTTTCTAAAATTGGTTCGTCTTTCTATGGCCCATATCCAAGCTGTAATTATTAACGTTCTTTTTTTATTTATAACATTTAAATTTATATTTGTTTTAAAAAAACGTATAGTAAATTAATATTAATGAATCTAATAAATGTAAATAATGCGTTCAATCACAAAAAATTTAACTTTCAGCACAATTTTTTTATGCAAGGGCATAGTGTTCCGACTTCCGAAAACCCCGGCTCGTATTTAGGTTCGGTTGTGGATTCGCATGAAATCGACCCGTCGAGTATTTTTAATTAAAAATTAAAATTTTTTTATATTAAATATAACTTGACGGGATAACAGATGCTCGGATCGAGTTCGAATACACCTCAAAACTCGACCCGACTCGACCCCCTCGGAACACTACCTTTTATGCATTCTTTTCTTATCATATGACATGCTAAAATTTTCTGAAATCTGTTTTCGCATTGTCTATTTTATCAGAAAACATTGATATACTGGGCGTTAGAATTATTATTTTTTCTTTATATTCGAAGTTATAATTTAACTGAAAAATTTTAATGCCTAGTTAGTATTTTGAATTGAGAAAAAAAAATAAAATAATACGGCAATCTAATTTGAGTTATCCGAGTCGACTCGAAATCATACGGGTTAATGCGAGTATGGGTTATTACTTTTACTAAAACCGACTCGAGTGACTATGTTTAATCATTTTTCGGCAATTGTTTTTCCTAACCATATATATAGTACGTGAGGACGGAATTAGGTATTGACATGATAATAAGAAAATAGAATAGAAAAACAAAAAAAGAACTAACAAATAACATAGTTAATCAAATTAAGTGAGCAATTGTTCTTACGTTGATAATCTTTTTTTAGGGAATTTCTTCTCATCATGTTCACTACACATTCTCATGAGCTTGACATCCTGGTATTTACGAACGTCCTTCATTGTCTAGCCATAGACAGAGTTATTCGTGAGCTTGAAGAAGCACCTTTTCGAATGGATTCTAGGCATTATTACGCAAATTTATGTTGTTTTAGAATGGGCGGACTGGAAAGGCAAGTATTTTTTTTAATTTGATTTAAAGAAATGTTTCTAACGTTTCATTTTCATTTTTTTTTTTCTAGGAACATCAAGTTTCTTATACAACCCGGACTATTTATTTATTTGACTTTTAAGAGCGTTTTATTTCTCTTTTTTTTTAGGATTCGAATTCTTTATATAAACCGGACTTTTAAAGGTAAATTTGGAAGGGGGTGACATATGTCTATTTTTTTCATTTATTTGACTTTAAAGAGATGTTTAGAACGTTTTATTTCTTTTTTTTTTTTCTAAGGACGCCGAGTTCTTTATATAAACCGGACTTTTTGAAGGTAAATTAGGAAGGGAGATGTCATGTATCTATTTTTTTCTTTAAAGAGACGTTTTTAACGTTCTATTTCTTGATTTATCCTAGGGGCGTCAATTTCTTTGTAAAACCCGTACTTTTAAAGGTAAACTAGGAAGGAGGGAGGTGGGTGTGTATTTTTTTATTTGTTTAATTTAAGAAATGTTTTCTACGGTTCATTTCTTGTCTTTTTCTAGGGATGCAACTCAGACAGAGCAACTAGATAAATGAAAATTTAGGTAAATGAGAAAAGGGATAACGAGTTGCTTTTATTTCATCTTTTTTCATTTTCATTTTTTTTGCTAATCTTGATTCACTAGTTTCTTTTTATTCTTTGGGTAATTTTATTTATAAAGATCGTAATTTTATTTACATGGTTTAAATAATGTCTTATTACATATTGTAATAAAAGGTTTTTTTTTGTAAAATTTCACATTTAAGGTGACTCGTTTCATGGATTTAAAATTTTGAGGTCGGAATATTTTTATTTAAAAATTTATATATTTGTAAGGTAAAATGGTAATCCCAAATTTTAAAAAAAAATTTTAACTTTTTTTTCTTTAAATAATCTGTTAATTATTTAATATTAACAAAATTTTCCTGTAAATTTTCTTAAAACTGGTCGGCGGTTATGAGAACCAATTTTTTAATATTGTGTCACCTTACATAAAATAAGTTAATAAAAAAATTTTTTAAGCTTGGTTTCTGAACAATTTTGTTCACTTTTTTTTCTTTATTATTGCGTGTTCACACCATTTTTTATGATCTCTCATGAGTCCACTTTTTATTCTTTTATTATCGCGTGTTCACACCATTTTTTTATAAACAATTTATTAATTGATCTCGCGTAGACAATTTTATATTAATTCTGGTCGGAATTATTTAAGAAATTCCGAAAAGTTTTTAGACTTTTTTAGTTAGAATGAGGTACAAAATGTAGTGTACATTAATAAGTTAATCTGTAGGATAAAACAAATAGTTACGTCATTTTTTATCAAGACTCACGTGGCTTAACAGGAGGACACGTGATTATATTTTGTCTTTCGTTACTCATCTAATTCATCTAATGTAATCTCTTCATAAGTGGGTAAAAAGATTAAGAAAGAAAAATTAAATTCAGTGATATTTAAATTTAATTATTGTTTACTAATAATATTGGCGAAAATATAAAAAATTTAAAAATTTTAAGTAAATAAGCAAGCCACAAACCGAGTAAAACAGGGTGAATTATATAAGTCTAATACTGGTAATAATATAGTCTGGTAAATCATAAATTGACCCAAGTTAATAAAAATTCAGGGTGCTAATGCCAATTATCCAATTATCGATTATCTATTAACTTGGGTCAATCAGACTATAAATAATTCAGATATTTGCATGAACCTGATACCGACATGATACTCATGATACTCTAACAAAATGCATATTTACGGCTCAAGAGCAGCAATTTTTGATGATCGTACACGTGATCGGTACGACGGTTAAATGTTATATACAGTCTTTCGGGTGCACGGCGTGCACAGGTTAAATATGTAATCTAAACGTTACTGTCACACCGGAAAACAATTATTATATAGTAGATTTTAATTCACTCTTTATCAAGCATAAACCTAGTTCTCTATCATTAATAATCTTTTAATGTTCCATTTATAATATTATTGAATACTATTTTAATTCTATAATTCATCCGTCATCAATGTCACGTCAGCATTAAGCACTAGAAAATTAACCAAGTGTCAAATAAAGGATTTTAAACCGAAAAATGAAAGGAAGTCACGTAAATCATTTGAACATTATAGTGCAAAGTTTTTTTTTTCAATAATTTTATATATTCTTTTTTTATTTTTATTTTTATTTTTGAAACCACGTGAACTAGATTACAGTAGGGATTGGAACCGGTTAAGGTTAACCGGTTAATTAACCGGTTAAGGCGGTTAACCGGTTAAGACCTCTCAAAAAACGGTTAACCGGTTAATTTAACCGGTTAAATTAACCGACTAATTAACCGGCTAACTTAACCGGTTAAAATACAGATCATCCTAAATTAGTAATTC